AGAACGTCAGACAACCTATGGGAATGAAAATCACGATCATAAAATGCCTGCCGCCATATTGCTAGAATGCTCGACAAGTGGTTACCAATAAGATTGCTCCTCTCGTTGATTATACTATTATGAATGTGGAGCTCAGACACATCAGACCCAACCAAATACACCCCCCCCGTAATGGCTTAATACGTAACAATGTAATACACGTATGGGAATGCGGCCTCCCTTGCAGCTCTACCCGACGACCTACCTCCTTCCTCTAGTGTAGTCCTTCTCAGCTAGTGTCTGTATAGCATCAGCAATAGCCCTAGCCTGGCCCGTCTCCACAAGCTGTTCCACGTTGGTGAGCTCAATCTCCGTCCATCCATAGGAAATACATCGCAATGATTTCGACTGTACTTTGCCTGATACAGATAAACAATCACGTTATTCAACACATTGAGAATCACAACTCCACAACAATAAACTCCGACGCCTCAGTAGTGTTGGAGTAGGAACATATCTCCGCTTCCCTCACCGGAGCTCCGGAGTTTCCTCACTAGTCATATGAGTTCAAATACGAGTAGAATTAGGGTAGAAGTGTACACGAACAAATGAAAATTTTCATATTATCACCAACACACGTAGTTGACCATATGCCCATTTTCCCACTACAGACCTCCTCCCTACCATCAGCCCGTAAAGTATGAGGATCGAGGCACCTCCCACGAAGGCCCGTAAAGATATTATCATCAACTTCAGGGATAGTAAGATGCACATCGTCATCAGCCGCGATCTGCTTGGCTCGACTAGTCACATCATAAGGCACATACTGGTCCATCATCCTATACACGCACATCTTTATCATCATACCACCAACACCTTCCATCTTACACGACAGTATCAGCCACATGGAAGTAGTCTCCCGACCCACCAATGACCATAACCGTACTTACTCCCACTCGATCGCTCAACGTCCTATTAAAATATACGTTTGCTTTCCCCAGTTCACTCCAGGAGTTTCCTCGCTCATCATACAAATTCGGCTAGGAGTTTACAATATATCATAGTTTTCATATTCTCACCAACACATGTAGTTGAGCATGTGCATATCCCCCCACACTGCCTCTCACAATGACCATAGCTACTACCTGACTCGCCACAGGAAGGGCGTGATAGGCTCCTTATCGGCCGAGACTAGTTGCTGCATCCGACCGTCCCTTATCATGAAGTTGGTCGCACCTGAGTTCTCGAAAACTGATTTCGGGTCTCCCAAACTTCCTCTCACTCGTATCCTCATCAATAAGGAAGGTCGATGCACCAACCTCCAACGCCTCCATTATATTAGCTGCTTGAC